TTCCTACCAAATCCCACCCTTTCCTAGCCAAAATGCATTTTGTGCCAAAAAAAATTTAAGACCCCTTTTACTGGGGAGGGGATTCCATTTCAATAATAGGATTCTACTTTTGCCCTACCCAGTGATACAGTCTGAGCTGCAAATGAGGACCATTTAATGCTTCATTTGATCTTAATTAATTTCAGTGGGGCCTGTTTTAAATGGGCCATCCCCTACCATCTTCTGAGCATGTTATTTAGCTCAGCAGGAATGAAGTAGCTCTTTTAACTCACCAGGGTGTGATGACCTCAGTGAGAGGAGCATTGTTAGCACTCTGTAAAAAGCTATTTTTGAACCATGTTATTTAGAAGTCATTGCTGTTCTTTGTTGCAAAAGAAGTTTTGCAAGAAAATGGCCTTTGTTCCCAATGAGTTCATCTGTAGTGGTTGGTAGGGCATGTATTTTCAGTGGTATGCCACACCAGGAGCAACCTGGTATTTTTTAGGGAGGGTTGCCCCTGGGGATATGGGGCAGGAATGAGCATTGTTGAGAGAAAGTTGGAAGAAGCTCTAACTTATAGCTGAGTCAGCAGACGCCACTCTTTCTTTTAGCAGATGGTTTGGTTTCCCTGCAGACTTTGGGGTGAAATCTTGAAAACTAAGGCCTTATCAAGATTTAGAAGAGATTTGTTATTGGCAGGCTATGTGGCTATCTTCTTTGTGTGTAGGTGTGTGTTTTCATGATTTTTGTAACTGCCCTTCTATAGGAGAAACCTACACCTACGACTGGCAGCTGATTACTCATCCTAAAGACTACAGTGGAGAAATGGAAGGGAAATATTCCCAGATCCTCAAACTATCCAAGGTGAATTTGCCTCCTTTTACTTGTAGGAAGTGGATTATTTTCTAAGATGAATAATATAGAATTTTCTGTCCACATTTAAGTTGGGAACAGTCTTTCAGAAATGAATCCTCCAAAAGTCTGCCTGGCTGACATCCAGTATTTGTTAGTGTATGATTCTCAAATTTTCATTTATGGTAGGAAGACTGTACCAGCATGGTAGTGATAGCCGAAAATATACACTAAACAGCTTTTAAGGGTAACATAAGGATTTTAGCATTTGGGAGCTGAGCTGGGTTATTTGTGGCCACATGCCTTTGTACCTTGGCTCAGTCCTTATGGGATTCAGTGTAGTTATTAACAGCCATAAAAATGTTGTATTCTTTGACCCAGCAATCTCATTCATTCATCCATTCATTGAACAACTATTCACTGTACACTGGTTATGTGGCAGGCTTTGGGGGTTTGCCAGTGAATTAACCCCAGTCTTAATGTTTAAGGACAATAAAGTCTAGTAGGTGATAGTGACAGGAAGCAGGTAATTATAACAGGTGATATACTAGGTCAGGGCAGGTGGCTGTGGAAGCCCTGGGAAGTTAGATTTCTTAGAGTTTGCCTAATTGGGTCATGAAAGGTAACTGACTTACTGAGTAAAAGGTAGAGGGATAGTACCCCAAGCAGAGGAAGCAATATGTCCACTGGCCAAAACCGAGAGAGAAAATGTGGGGAAAAGGGAATTATATGTGGTTCAGCCTGACTGGACCCTAAGGTGTGAGAAAAGCAGTGGCACAAGTAAGGTGGAAAGATGCAGGGGCGAAATTGAGCAGAGCCTTGTATGTCAGATTAAGGACTTTGACTCTTATCCCAGGGGGAAGGAAGAGGGAGCCTTTCAAGGGTTTTAAGCAGCAGAAAGACATGTTCAGATCTTCAGTTTAGAAAGATCACCCTGACTGCAGATTGGAGGGAAAAAGACTCAAACTAGGAATACCAGTGAAAAATCTGTTGAAAACTTTAGGTATAAAATGATAGTAGCCTGAATAAAAAAACTAAATAAATAAAAATAATGAAATGTGGGCAGAGAAGGGAAAGCCAAGGAAGGAGAGTATTACAAGGAGGAAGTGGTCAAAACGTTACTTACGGTCAATTAGTATTTACGCAAAGAAGGTAATTCAAAAGAAAGAAAAATAATCCATTTGCCTGGAAGATGTTCATTACAGCATTAGTCATAATAGTAAAAATTTGGAAATAACCCAGGTATCCACAATGTGAAATGCTTATGTGAATTATGACACATTTATTCATGTCCTATTCTGCTGTCATTAAAATGAATATGAAAAAGATTATAGCATAATGGGGAAAGTGTTCATACTAGATGAATGGAAGAAAGAACAATAAAAGGCTTTATACCTTGATTTTGTTAATAGCTGGACCCTGAATATCATCGAAATACTACCTCCTTGAAGGTAGAGATCTTACCTTATTCATCTCCAAACCCAAGCCTAGGACAATGATTGGTACAAGATTGGGTCTCAGTAAATGTTTGTTGAACAAATGAACTGTTTAAAACTATTTTTTTTATATGTGGTCAAAGATTAGAAGGAAATAGAGAAATATGATGAGTTGATGTGTTAGGATAGTGAGATAGTGGGTGATTTTATCGTTTTGGATATTTTTCCTTTTATGTTGTGTTTACATAGTTAGTAAAAATCAGGAGGGAAAAATATTCAGATATTTGGGAGCCATTTGGTATCTTTACAAAAAATTTTTCTTTGAAGAGTTGATTATTTTAATTTCATAACTTTGAAATAGGATGGTTGGGCCCTTAATGTTCTTCTGAAAAGAAAATGGGAGTACAGAGATATTGAAATCCCTTCTGTTGTTCCAGAGGCAGCTAGTAATAAGATTCACATTAAAAGCTCTTTTTTTTAGTTTAATTCATTGTTTTATCTCTTTAGCTAGTTTACTTTTTCCATTTGGAAACAGAACAAGAAAAGAGTGAAAGATTTAGCATGTGGAAGTTCAGATATACATGTTATCTTAAACATAATTGCTGCTCTTTGTAGTTGTCTAAAAGATCTTCTCTCACTTCTGCAGCTCACTCCAGGACTGTATGAATTCAAAGTGATTGTAGAGGGTCACAATGCCCATGGGGAAGGCTATGTGAATGTGACAGTCAAGCCAGGTAAGTGTTTCCAGCCCTGGCTGTGTCTCCATTGCTTCTACTGCAGGACTCCTGAGGAGATGAAGATTTAACTTTGGGGTTTTTAATTCCTATTCTTGTTTTGTTATGTATTTATGGGCAACTCCTAGTTCAATGTAGTAGAAGTTTATAGTAGCAAAATACAGACTTCATTCCATCAGTGTTCTAGTTGGAACAGTGGGTTGGGCACATGGCCCATAGTGCAGTATGGCATGGCCTGAGCAATTGCTTGTCTACCAGAGAACAATTTCTCCAAGGGGCAGTGCTGAGAGAGGACATGTGTTGTAATTAACAGCCACCAGGAAGCCAGGAGCCTAGGAGGTTGCAGGAGCATGCAGAAGGAGAACCAGCCAGTGACTGGCTCTTTCTGATCTCTTTCCAGAGATGTGGGCCTTTGTACACAGAGTTCCTCATTTTTACCCTACTAGTCTCTTTCACCTTGGAAATGAAATCCTGTTATTCTTATTAAATGAGCTACTATTATCAATGTATCTTGTTTTGCATTTTCAGAGAAATCTGGGAGAAATTTGAGAGAGGCACATATGCTGGCACAGATTTTTTTTTTTTTTTAGAGACAGGGTCTCACTGGAGTACAGTAGGGCATGATCATAGCTCACTATAACCTTGAACTCTTGGGCAAAAGCGATCATCCTGCCTCAGCCTCCTGAGTGGCCAGGACTACAGGTGCACACCCTATACCTGGCTAATTTAAAAAATATATATATTTTGTAGAGATAAGGTCTTGCTGTGTTGCTCAGGCTGGTCTTGAACCCTTAACCTCAAGCAATCCTTCTGCCTCAGCCTCCCAAAGTGCTGGGATTATAAGTGAAGCCACCGTGCCTGACTTGGCACAAATTCTCAATACTGTTTTCTGTCTTTTCTTTTCATTCCTTGAACTTTGTAGCCAAGATAATCCTTTCACCTTCTTAAAAATGTGATCAGGGCCATGCGCGGTGGCTCACGCCTGTAATCCTAGCTCTCTGGGAGGCTGAGGCGGGTGGATTGTTTGAGCTCAGGAGTTCAAAACCAGCCCGAGCAAGAGCGAGACCCTGTCTCTACTAAAAATAGAAAGAAATTAATTGGACAACTAAAAATACATAGAAAAAAAAAATTAGCTGGGCATGGTGGCGCATGCCTGTAGTCCCAGCTACTCGGGAGGCTGAGGCAGAAGGATTGCTTGAGCCCAGGAGTTTGAGGTTGCTGTGAGCTAGGATGACGCCACGGCACTCTAGCCCGGGCAACACAGTGAGACTCTGTGTCAAAAAAAAAAAAAATGTGATCAGCATCAAGACCATTTGATCGTTTCTCAAAGAAAAGGCCACTGGGTTTGTAGTTCACAGTCATTAGGGTAAACCAGAGTGGTTTGTGACCTTCCTGTTACTCAGCCATAGTCACCTCACACACCCTGAGCCCAGTGGTGGTTGAGAAATCACCATCATCCTTTCAGCACCATGTGTGCCAAGGGAAGGTTTGCTTGCCACGACCTTGATTGCACAAAGCTTGTTTGTTGTCCACCTCTAGTTAGGCTTGCCTGAAAGAATTCACTTGCTGCTATAGTACTTTCTACCAATGAGATAGCACACGAGCATTGAAGGAATGAATACTCAGGACATGGTCTTAGTAATGGGCAGGTTTGGAAGAAGTTTGTTCACTCCCAGATGTCTTGTGTCAGAATGGCAACCTGGTCTTGTGATTTTCCCATGTGGTGATGCTTCAGCCATCAATTAGGTAATGGAAACTGATTTATATTCCTCTCAGCTATGGCCTGCTCCTCCTATAATTTATAAAGCCCCTCTCCTAATTTCTTCTGGGTCACTTTCTTGGCAGAACCCCGTAAGAATCGGCCTCCTGTTGCTATTGCGTCACCTCAGTTCCAGGAGATCTCTCTGCCAACTACTTCTACAGTCATTGATGGCAGCCGTGAGTACTTGTCTAAGCGTGATGTTTTAGAAGAGCATCACTGTGGACTCTGGTAGAAAACTCTAATAGAAGATTCGAGGCCAGCTAGGTCTGCATTCTGTTTAGGATCTTGACCATGTTATGGGGGGACCAACCATCTGAAGCAGCTGATTGGGAAGCAACAAACCAGACAGGCCCCACGTAAAATCCCCGTGTGGCTTGTTGGAGGTAATATTTCTGCTCTGAGATGATAAGAAGTGGGATTATGCATGTATTTAGCATTATATTAGTTGAAACTCACTGGTATTCAAATTTGCTTAGATGGAGTTGTGTTTTTTGGTTATGGAAACAAAGTTCCTTCCTGTCATAGCAAGATAAGTAACTGAGAGGCCTGACCGAGGAGCTCTTACCCAGCCATCACTGCCTAACGAGATTCTTACTAGCCTTCTCCTTGAGAGACCCACAGCATGCACTCTGCACCCTTGCCTGAGCTCCTTACCATTTTATTCCTCAGAGCAGTGTCACCTAATGAGTGACGTGAGAGGATTTCTGGGTCTTTGCCCTTGATCCTGCTGTGTGTTTGCAGGTTTCCAGCCTGGCCTCTCTCCGGCATTTGCTTGGTTCCTTTTGAGACCCATTAAGGCCCCATTACTCTGACTGTCTTGGCACCAACAGTGGTTTTTGGCAGAGGCAGTCACTACTTTAGCAGAGGACTCGATAGCAAGGTTAAGCACTTCATGTTGATGATTCTGGCAAAAAGAGGAGGCTAGGATAGCAGGCCAAGGGGGAAGAGAGAGAACAGGAAGAAGCACTTGTGATAGAGAGTGATAGAAAGCTTTCACATAGCACTGCTTTATTTCACAGTTTTGAATAGGTCAAAGTTAAACAATATGTAAAGGTATGCAGTGAAAGGAATTATACCATCCCTGTCTCCCAACAATCCAGTTTTCCTCCAGACAACCAATGATATTATTATTTTATGTGCCCTCCCAGAGATATTCTATATATATGTATAAGCAAATACATATATAGTCTTTATCCCTTGTTTACACAATGAAAGCATATTATATGCACTGTTAGGTACCGTGCTTTTTTCTTTATGTTGGAGAATTTTTCTGAATTAATATATAAAATGCTTATTCATTCTTTTTTAATGATTACATAGCATTCCATTATATGAATGTATGATTTTATTATATGAATTCATACTTGTTTTCAATCTCTATTGATGACCATTGAGGTTACTTCTCTGCCTGGCTTAGTGTTGAAGGAAAAAAAATAAAAAAAATAAAAAAACAAATAAAAGAGGTTACTTCTCTTCTTTTGCTATTACAAACAATGTGACCATGAGTAGTCTTGTAAATATGATGTTTAACACATGTGCAAATGTGTCTGTATGATAAATCCCTAAAAGAATTGCAGGGGCCAAGATAAAAATATTGCCAAATTAGTCATTATAGAGGCTGTGTCAATTTATGCTTCTACCATGACTAATAAGAGGGCCTCCTTCTATAGTTTTACCCATATAATGTGTTATGAAATTTTGGTCTTTACCAATCTGATAGGTTAAAAAAATGCTAAGTGTAATTTTAATTTGCATTTCTTTTAAGTGAGGTTGAGTACTTTTTCATGTGTTTAAGAATTATTGATTTTCCTTTTTTCATACAGTAACATTTTACCCAGAGGTTGCCTGTGTTGGAGTCCTTGGAAAACTACGCAGTGGGAACATTCATAGAGAGGCAGAATGACCCAATAGTCCTAGGGAAGAAACACTCTGGAGAGATAGACAGTCTGTAATTCCATGAAGTTTTCCCAGCTTCCAAGCTCTGGGTAGTTGCCCTGATTTGTGTAAACTGGATAAGTGTTGAGACCCCGCATTCTTATGTTGTAACTGATGTTTCTTTATGGTCAAGAAAGCACTGATGATGATAAGATCGTCCAGTACCATTGGGAAGAACTTAAGGGGCCTCTGAGAGAAGAGAAGATTTCTGAAGATACAGCCATATTAAAACTAAGTAAGCTCGTCCCTGGGAACTACACTTTCAGGTAAATTAGGATTCAGCTTCAGGTTTACCATATGCCATTTTTTTTCTCTCATGGGTTTTATGTTCTTATAGGAGTAACTCTTACAAATACCAAATTCGCTGTGGAGGTGGTTGGCGACATGGCCTTTGGTTCCACTGGTCCCCTGTGGTGATTGTGATCACAGCAGTAGTAACTTTTTAGGGCCAATGTCCTTGCATAGTAGATTGGGATCTGCCACAGCTAATCCTTCTCGAAGCCTTGTCTGGCAGAGCTCTAAAAATTTTTTAGGATTTCTGTCATTAAGTGAAAAGGCCCATCTACCTCTGTCTTTTCTCAGGGGAAATCTATAAGGAACTTACCCCATTTTGTCTCTTGCCTTTGGAAAATGCTTTCTCAATTTATAATACCTCAAAATCTTTACCTTTGGCTAGTGGTTTGTTTGAATATGATTTGTAGGATCTTTATCTATTGGGGCTTTTTGAAGAAAGCAAAGTACTTTTGGGAACTGGTGTTGACATTCTAGATGTGATTAATAAGGCTTTGAAGCTGACTGTAGAGTAATCCTCATGTTTGCATGATTCCTTGTATGTCACAAAGCACTTGCACATGAGTATCATACAACCATCACATGTAGATGATTCTGTCTTCACTTTACAGCTGAGAAAAAATGAGGTTTCTCTGAGGTCTCATGGCTAGAACTTAAATGCAGATTTTCTAGCCTCCATGCCAAGGCTCCTTCTGTTTTAGTCCTTTACTTGATCCATATATATTTTGTTTCTGCTTCCTTGAATACCCTTCTCAGTCTGTTGAATTTTGCCCATCTTTAAGGACCTGCTCAATTTCCACGAGGCTCTCAGAGATCCCTCCAGGGGGAGAGAATATGACTCTGCCTTTCCCTGTTTCACTCATTGCCTCTGTGTGGCACCCACCATAATGTGACAGCTTATTCATGTGTGTTTGTGTTCCCATGGATCTGAGATTAATCATGTTTTAGATGCTGCCAGGGACACTGAAATGAGTGTCCTAGCACAACACCTACACATAAATCAATATGCGAGTTCTGATTTAGCAGTACTCCCATTGGTTCAAGACTTCAGGTGAATGAAAAATAGCTGCCAATACAAGATTGGGATCTTCTCATTGACTTAAAATGGAAATTTGAGTTGTTTTTTACTTTAGATTTCTAATATAGGAATTTTTCCATTTGTAGAATTTAGCCTGGGCCAGGTTGATGCTTTTTAAAGATGGTAACAGCTAATATTTCCTGAATATTTACTGTGTGCTAAGTACTACTCTGAGCTCTTTGCTTGTGGTATCTCATTTAATTCTTATAATAGGTATTACGGTTATTCTCATTTTACACATTAGGAAATTTTGGTGCAAAGAGATTAAGTAACTTGCCCAACCAAGGTCATACAAACAATCTGACTCCAGAGTCTGAGCTTTTAAGCACAATGTTGGCCTACAGTTTTTTGGTGGATAGGGTATTGAGAGTGATTCTTTTTTCCTAGTCCTCAATTTTTTTTTAGTCAATGAAATCATGGGATTGGAGTTGATTAGCATTAAGGCCTACTCTGGTGGGGATTCACTCACCTTTTCCTCTCTCCCACTTTTAAATGGCAATAGCCTCCTTCCCCAGCCCTGTCATCAGCTGCTGTTTGGTTCCGGAATCCCTACAGGACAGCCAGGGACTGTTTGAGGCGGAAGTCAGAGTATCGGGGCAGCTGCCATTTTGCTGGCTGTCTATACCTTAGTTTTGTTCTGACATAGGGGATAAGTGGGATATGTTAAAAAAAAAAAAAACAGACACACACACACACAAACCTGTAAAAACAGCAGGAAACTAGGAAAAGAGACAAAATATCTGTGAATTTTTCTTTTTCAGATATTTGCTGATTTGTTTATATATGTGTGTCTGAAGTTTTTGTGTGCCTTTTTTCTAAAGGCTATAATACCAAAAATCTCCTTCAGATCATAGGCGAAAGGTGAGATTGTGAGATAAAACCCCGCAGATGTCTGGCTCTGACTGTGGCTGGTGGTGAGATTTAAACAAACCGCATGTCTTTTCTGTGCTTTTCCTCTTCCTGTCAGCAAAATGGAAGGATCCCAAACCTCCTAGCTTGCTTATACTCACATTGTGAGGTGGCATGAGAAGCTTTAGGCTGTTCAGCTGGAAGGCACCATTTAGGTAAAAGCTTGCTCTCATAAATGAATATTTTTTTTTCTCTTGCAAATCCTATGTCTCACTGGCACAAACCGTAGGACTGTTGCGTAGGAGAATTCATTTTCATCTCAAGCTCCTGCCTTACTGGAGCCAGCCCTCCTGGTTCGTCCCAGAGGCTGTCTGCCCAGGATGTCCATTCTTGTGACATGTATACAGCTGAAATAGGACGATGTGAGGACAGCCTGCCGCAGACAGAGCTCGCTGTATTTAGTGTAGTGTCTTCACACTCCACAGGAATAGGGACCAGGAATTACTTAAGACTTGGTAACTGAGCTTTGGAATCAGAGCACTGCACTGGGCTTGCATCTTGGCTCACTGTGTAGCCCTGGGCACGTTACTTAGCCTCTCTAAACCTCCTGTAAAGTGGAATCGATGATTCCTGCTTTATATGGTTGTTCTGAGGGCCCTGTTACACAGTGCTTGTAAAGGTCTCAGCACACAGACGCATGCAGGCAGCAGAGCAAAAGGGTACTGGAGACATAATGCCTGGATTCAGAACCTGACGACACTACTGTCAAGTTGTTTGCCCTTGGGCAAGTTACTTTACCTGTCTGTCTTGATCTCCTCAATGTGTAAGGCGTAAAGTTAAGATAATACTGTATAAAGCTGTTGTGAGGATTTAATGAGACAAAGCACTTGGAAGAGTGCCTGGCACATGAACCCTCATTCAGTGTTAGCTTCTAGTAGGACTTATCTGCTTTGGCAATGAGACTGTGTAAGAATAGGTAACCTTTGTATTTATTAGCATTGATTTTCAGTCCTCTAGTGTATACTCTTCTTTCCTTAAACCCATCCCTGGTTGAACTCTTCTCTCTGCCCTGATAGCTTGACTGTAGTAGATTCTGATGGAGCTACCAACTCTACTACTGCAAGCCTGACCGTGAACAAAGCTGTGGATTACCCTCCTGTTGCCAACGCAGGCCCCAACCAAGTGATCACCCTGCCCCAAAACTCCATCACCCTCTTTGGAAACCAGAGCACTGATGATCACGGCATCACCAGCTATGAGTGGTCACTGAGCCCAAACAGCAAAGGGAAGGTGGTGGAGATGCAGGTAGGAGGGAATAGTTCCTGTCTTTTCTTGCCCAGGGGAAGTAGAGCTGCTGGACTGGGACACCCATCAAGGCTTACTTCTCCATTTTCATTACCAAAGTCAGATTTGTACATAGAACATTGAGATTTTAAAAAACCCAAAAACAAATCCAGAAGGTTTTAGGGGCCTTTGATTAACATGTTAGCAAAAATCTTTAGTGTTTAATATCAAAAGAAAAGGCTGGATAAGAAATGTTAGTTGTTCAGGATGACTCCAGAGAGTCAGACTATTTAGAAGCTACAAGGATGCAAATATCTGTGAGCTCTGTTACAAGTTGGAGTAGGTTGTCTGACTAGTTGGTGAATATCTTCTCTCTGGAGATACCTAAGAAGGGACTAGATCTGTCACCAGGCAGGTAACATAAATGAAGAAAACTGGATGGGAGCTGTGCTAGACCAGAGAGCTTACACCGTGATCAAAGGGGTGAGCTGCTCTTCTTCACGTCCAGCTCGTTGTTGCTTCGTGGAAGTGCGGTCCCAATATTGCTTGATAATCTAGATTTTTAAGAGAAGACAGAAATCAAGACCTTTATGTGAAAATTTCCAACTTTTAAGATACTACAGGCCAAACAAAATGTCTGCAAGCTGGATTCAGCTCACAGGCTGCCAGTTTTTGCCCGCTGTTCTGCAGGAAGCTCCTGCATTGGAAGTATGCCCTAAATTATTTATAATGTTCCTTCTGATACTCAAGATTCTGTGTTTCTAGATTTCAGGTCTGACTTAAAGCCCACATTTTACCTTGCTTTAATTAAGTATTACGTTCGGTTTTTCTGTTGTCACAGATCATGTACAGACCTGTAAGGGGACAGTGTGGTGTTATAGAGCATCTTGGGTTGCTGCCATGTTTCAGGGAGATGACTTTGTTAGGATCACTGTGTAGCCGCAGTAGGAACAGGACCTTTTTAAACAGTGCTTTTAAAACTGGGTCATTTTATTATATGATCGTGGTGTTCTTTCTGGTTTGAGTCATAGAGACTGACCTTGGTAATCTCTGTATATTTTCCCATACTCCCTTCTCCTGTGAGAGCTCTGGTTTTATTTGAAACTGCTGCTGTGTCAGGGAGGGTTGTTCCTTTGTAGGGGGGAACTTATAGCAAGATGTCTCATGATGTCTGATTCAACTTTCACTAATTATGCTGAACTGGGAGGTAACAGTCCAGTGCCAACTTACATTTAGAAAACTGGTTAAATTGTCTCTACCAAAGTGCGAATTATTGTGTGATGTTGTGATTCTGGGAGTCCACTTTTCCACTTCTGTATTTATATGTAGGGTGTTAGAACACCAACCCTGCAGCTCTCTGCAATGCAAGAAGGGGACTACACTTACGAACTCACAGTGACTGACACAATAGGACAGCAGGCCACCGCTCAAGTGACTGTTATTGTGCAGCCTGGTAAGCTCTAGCCTTGTGGTTCAGGCTGTTTTATTGGCTGGCAGAGGGGAGGGTTGGGTTCTGAGCTTATGAGGGTAGAACCGATCCACAGAGCCTGAGGTGACTGCTGTCGTCCCTTCCCCTTGTGCTTTCTTCATAGCTAAAGTGCACTTCCCAGCCTCAGCTAGTGCCTTCCCGTTGGCTAGTTATTGCGCCTTGAGGGGACCTGGGAGATAGAGTCTATACCATCCCAAATCCTACCATGTCCTTTAATGACTTGCTTCAAACTCACTTCCTCAGGAAAGCCCTATCTTATCACTCAAGCCCTTTCGTTTGAACTATTGTAACATCAGATTTCAAATTTAGTGTGGCATTATAGCTTCACTACGTTCTACTATGTTTCTTTCAGAATTGTTTGGTATGTTTCAGTCTCTTCATATTCTTCACTGAGAGCTCCCCAGTGGTAACCAGATCCCCCGCAGTATCTGACAGTTCTGTGGGCTGAAAGGCAGAGTTCCCATGGCTTCCAGAACATATGTCCCAATTGGTTCCTCTCCTTTTCCCACCTGGACTGGCTGCTTTTGACCTCGAAATCTCTGTCTTCTAGAAAACAACAAACCTCCTCAAGCAGATGCAGGCCCGGATAAAGAGCTGATCCTTCCTGTGGACAGCACAACCCTGGATGGCAGCAAAAGCTCAGATGATCAGAAAATTATCTCATATCTCTGGGAAAAAACGCAGTGAGTATTGACACAGAATCCTTACTTATGCCAAGGCCCTGGAAGAGCAAGGTTTTTTATTCACTTTAACAGTTGACTTGCTCTTATTGGCTTATCCTTGGGGGTGGCTGAGGAAGAAATGTTTGCAATTCCAAACTTCAACTCTAAGAAAATGATATTATAAGTAATTTTTGTAAGGAAAAAAGAATGCTTGCCATCAGTCAATCTTCAGGTAGTACTGTGTGATCCTGGTGCTTTTGCAGGTACGATCCATCTGCTGAAACGCATAGTTTAATTACACTTGAGAGGCAGGATGGAAGGGGTAATGGAGCAGAAAAATACTGTTGCTCAAAATTAACTGGGGAAGGCTGGCAGGGGGGCTGGGGCAGAGCAGCTGTAAAGAGGAATTGAAAATACATCTATAAAATGAAAGCATTACTCTGTTACTGTTTCCTTGAAGACACCATTTACCAATTAAGTTCGAGGCCAAAGTCAGTAACAAAAATAATACTAATTAAACTGAAATCACCTAACTGAACTATTCCTGATTCTCACAGTTTTCTTTCAGCTCCTTTAAGCCATAACAAATGGAACTCAGATTATATGCAGGATCCCATAGGAAGCAAAAGAATTCCAAGGAAGAGTTAAAAGCATTCTCAGTTTCCAAAGGTAGCAACCATAGGACAGACTGGGTTTTTTTTTTTTTTATTTTGTTTTTATTTTTTGACTAAGGCATTAGAGATGGGTGGAAAGGGCTTTGATTTGACTATAGAAACTCTTCGACTTAATGATTGCTGAGTTGGATTCTAGAAATTATTAATATTTCCCTCAGCTCTTGTTTCTGTCTTTTGGAGAACATAATGTTCCTCAGCCCAGGGTGTTTTAATTGTAATTGTTTATTGAAGATACAGCTGATAAAGCTTTCAGCTGAATTTTATTAGTGTTTACAGCAGAGATAATGCTTGGCATAGCTTCTTGGAAGAGAATCTGTTTCAGGAAGAGCTACTAGAGTCAGAGGATATCAGTTTGAAAAGCAACCAAAGCAAATTGTGGATGTGTGCAGATTTCTGTGGTTGTCCTATAGTTTTAAGGAAAGCTCTGAGGCGTTGTGATCCTTGAGCAGAAGGGCTCTCTGGTCATGTAGTCTCTTGCCGGGTGTTGGTGCAGAGCTCACTCTGCTGCCCCAGGCTGCTCTCTGAGGCCACAAAGGGAGAAGGAAGGATACTGGGTGTCCTGGGTCCTCGTGGCCCCTGTCCAGGAGCTGGAGGGAGCTTTGCTTATAGAGCCACTAAGCAGACGATTTTGTCCTGAGAGTTCCTCTGCAGCCTTGGCCCATTTCCTTTCCTTGACTTTTCATCGGGAGGGATTTGGGCATGTGATTAAGAATGCATTTTGCTTCTTTGCTGGCAAGGGCTGAACCAACTACTGGGCCAGAAATGCTTTTCAGAAACATCACTCTTTTGATCAGAGACCTGCTCAGAGAACTTTCTTCCTTTTACAAACTGGAACGGTAAAGAGTTCAAGTGTTCTAGAAGCTCATATAAAGGATAAGGCTAGATGTGTTTGAAAGCTGGTGAATGGAATTTTCTGACCAGCAGGTAGCCTGTATTTTGGGGCCAAATAATACTTTGTCCAAAAGGAATATTTTTAAACATTTCCTGTCAAGGTCTGGGAAACAACAGTTCATGTCTTAGCTAAGGCAATAATTGTCTCCTCCTGCTGAGTCAAGGACGGCAGAGCTGCATACAGGTACAACTCCACCCTCTGGATTCTTTGTTTGTCCAGGGGACCTGACGGGGTGCAGCTCGAGAATGCTAACAGCAGTGTTGCCACTGTGACCGGGCTTCAAGTGGGGACCTATGTGTTCACCTTGACTGTCAAAGATGAGAGGAACCTGCAAAGCCAGAGCTCTGTGAATGTCATTGTCAAAGAAGGTACCTCTCTGCCTCTGGTTTGTGGAGCAACCTCTTTGGGTCAGATAGCTGAGGAATTCATCATGTCTTGTTTGATTGCAGAAATTAGTTAGAGACAACAAGAGGTGGAGAAGAAGGTCGGGGTGAGGGCACCTGTTATTTTCTTTTCTAAAACAACCCTTAATTGAGATTGACTGTAAGGTGAATTTTAATTTCCCTCCCTGCTCCTCCTCCGTTATCCTCCCTCCTCCTCCCCCATCCTTCTTCCATTTCTTCCCCTGCTTTCTCTCTCCGTCCTTCTCTCCTTCCCTTCCTTCCTTCCTTTCACAATTGAATAGGGGAAGAATTAGAATTCTTTTCATTTTTATTTTGCCCCTGTGCTGCCAAGACCTGGGGTTTCTGTGACTCTCCTGTTGGCTACAGTGACACCTGCTGTCAGACCTTAGAATGACTGCTGCACTGCAGCTGCCTGTGCTTGTCCTGTGATATGAGCCTGCAAGCTGAGGCCAGCTTGGAGGCAAGAGTTGACAAGTCTTGGCTGGTTTGTAGCCATGGTGACAGCGAGGGCCTTGGGAGATGGCCATAAGCTGATAGTAGGAAAAACCATCAGATATGTAGGTGACCTCCAGATACAGTATACTGAGCGAGTAAATACTGAATATACATCTCAGTAAACAAAGCTTCAAGTGGGGCTCAGAATAAGAGAGGTCTCTCCCTTTTTTCTCTTGTAGAGTACCAGTGAAAGAATAAAAAAATTAACACGTTCAGAGAATAACATTTTAAGATGTTTCAAATGAGCATTTGTGGTATCAGCTGGATGAACTCCAAGGCTTTATGCCACTTTGGGTGTTTGTTTCCACATACCTACAAAATACAAAAATGGATTCCTTTTGGGAAGGCTGCTATGAGACGAGCACACAGCCCCCTCTATTGTATGGTGTGAGGAGAACACTTCTATGGGTAGGACAGGAGCCTCAGGACTGCAGTACTGGTAGCTTTAAATCTGTACCATTGGTTGCTGGCGTAGACAGGCACTTATAACAGTTCTTCATTTAAGATGCTCTTGATGTGTAATTTCCCCATAAGCATCATGAGGAAGCATTTCTTCTTTTCCAGAATGGCACATTATTTCAGTGATCTCTCTTTTGCAGAAATGAACAAACCACCTATAGCCAAGATAACTGGGAATGTGGTGATCACCTTGCCCACGAACACAGCAGAGCTGGATGGTTCCAAGTCCTCCGATGATAAGGGAATAGTCAGCTACCTCTGGACTCGGGACGAGGGGAGCCCAGCAGCAGGCGTAAGTGTGGCAGGAGCTGGAGAGCTACACCGGGTATAAGTGGCAAGATGGGGGGAGGAGGAAGAGCTGAGCATTCCAGTATCTGTTTTAACCAAGTGTTGACCAAGTGGCCCCTTGTATCATACCTGGATTGTTTTCTGAAATCCAGGAAGGTTAAGTGACTTGCTCAGGGTCACTCTGTAAGCTAGTGTGGCACAGGATGGGTTTCTCTCCCCTGATCCTAGCAGCTGTGGGCTCTGATGCTGTTACAGATGAAAAATTGCCCAAGGCTGAAATGGCCCAGCCCAGAGAGACTTAGTTACAGCAGAAGCAGCAACTGACTCCAAGAAAGGAGTGGTGTCTTGTTCTGCAACCTAACCATGTTGTTCAATCCTACAGGAAGTATTAAATCACTCTGACCATCACCCTATCCTCTTTCTTTCCGACCTGGTTGAGGGAACCTACACATTTCACCTGAAAGTGACCGATGCAAAGGGTGAGAGTGACACAGACCGGACCACTGTGGAGGTGAAACCTGGTGAGTTCATCTAGTGATGAGACTGAGTGGAACTGCTGGGTCAGCCAACTGAGGCGTGTATCTGAGACCCCTTCCCCCCAGTGTGGACGCAGCCAGACGGCATGTCCATCTTTTTAAAAAAATCTAGAAACCCCAAGCTGAAAGATCCTTAGAGACTGTTTCAACAATACCCCTCTACCCACGCAGGAATATGGACCTCCCCTACTCATCTCAGATGGAGAAACCAACTCAGAGAGGGCAGGGCTTGCTCAGTGTCACACAGCAGTTGTGTCAGAGCCAGGCCTTTGTGCCTCTAGTTCAGCACTTTCTCCTTTATGTGTGACTGATGAGAGGGCTCAGGGTGCTTTGGGAATCTGAGCACAGGAATAGCTTGAGTCATGATGTCTCATCAGCACCCAGATGCAGAAAACAATTTATTTTTATAAGTTGAGCCTCAGGCTTTATCTGACAACCCAGGGAAGGTAAAGTAACTAATGTCCTTTACATTTTTCAGTTGCAGAAATAAAATTTCCTTCTTAAATAGAACCACGTTTTTGTTTTGCTTTGAGGCTAATTTGGTGATAGGGAGGAACTGAGTGTGGAGGTGGGGTAGAGCTTTATAAATTCCTGAGCTTCTGATGAGAAGGTATTAACTTTACACCTACTCTATTATCTAGGCCAAGCTCATGTGTGGATGCCTTAGATGGGAGGGGGGCTTGGGCGATCTTCAGATCCTTGTCCTCGCTCTGGGAAGGACAACAGCCGAGACGCTATGAAGTCTATTCTGTGTTTAAAGTCAGGTCACAGATAGTTTACTAATTACGTATTATACATCAGAACAGGCAAATGGAGCTTTCAAGTATGTAAATAAGGCCTTCTGAACAATCAATTTGAAATTCCAAATGTAGAACAGTTTTTAGGACATATTCTAAAGGAAAGCACGATGGTCTCAGTTTTAGAGTTGTACAAAGACAATACAGCTGTGGTGCATCTCTCAGGGTGGCCTTGTTTCTTGGCTGCCTGGATTTTCTTTGTGTTTCCTGTATTTAAACCTGTAGGGACAGATGCATTCCCATTACTGAGAAGATTGTTGAGATGGATGTTTTTCCTCCCATTGTTGTAGACAAAGTACAGCAAGTCACTGGAAATCAGATGTGAGTCAGGAGAAATTGCCTGATACCCACTTGGCCTGGATTGCTGAGCAATGCAGTTGCAGAGGCTTTTGGAACAAATGCTTAAGTGTTTCTCTCTCCCCCACTCTCTCTTCAATACCTCCCCCCACAGCCATTGCCTCATAGCCTTATCCCCAGCACATGTGTGGGAATTCTCAGGGTGGTACAGAGACCAGCAGTGCTTTAGCAGCTTTCCAGGCCAGCCCCAGATTGCCTTATCAGGAATCCACTGTTGCCCCCTTTCCACCCTAGGACATCTGAATGTTCTCAGTACTTTCTCTCCTGTGCCAAAGCAAATGCACAGTGGCAGGTCTGTGTTAACTCTCCTACTTCTAAAGCCATGACTGATCCACATGCTTTCCAGATCCCAGGAAAAACAACCTGGTGGAGATCATCTTGGATGTCAACGTCAGTCAGCTAACTGAGAGGCTGAAGGGAATGTTCATCCGCCAGATTGGGGTCCTCCTGGGGGTGCTGGATTCCGACATCATTGTGCAAAAGATTCAGCCGTACACGGAGCAGAGGTAGCCGGGCAATGAATGGGGGGAGAAAAGGAAAGACCAGGGTTCCCCTGGGCTTCTTGATTAAGCCAACAAGTAGTGTGGCTAGAGAGAGAAGGGTGGGCTCTGTGACCAGGAACCACGCGTGGTGTCCATTTCTTCGATGGACCTCTCTCTCTCCTAGTGCAGGTGACATACTCATACTAGACAGCAGGGCTCCGGGGTACAAAGTCAGAGGGGGTCCACTACGTTTGAAGGCCACAGTCCAGGAGGGGAGATGATCAAGTAAACAGAACATCAGTACAGGGTGGGCTTGTTGCAACGTGTGGCGTTGTGGCGACACCAAGCAAGGGCAGTTAATTCTTCCAGGACAGCTGGGGTAGGCATAGTCCAGGGATTTTCTAGAAGAAGGAAAACTTGCATTTACCAGGCATGGGAGGACTAGGAGGAGATTCAGAAAAGGGGAACAGTGTGAGCAGTGGCCCTGTGGTATGAAAGTTCAGGGTTTCTCCTGGCAGTCATTTGCTTCAGAGCCCTAGGAGGTGGTAGAAGATGAGGCTGGCCATGGGTACTGAGAGCAGTTATATGCAAGCCAGGGAGTTGAGTTTTAATAGTTTAGGTAGAAGGACCCAAATTTGTTTCTTGTGTGTGACGTTTTTGTTTTACTTCTAAAGCAAGGAAATTCCATAGTTAGATTTTTTTCGTTTTAAGGGAGATCGTTAGTGCGGAGGTTAGACTAAAATAGGGGAAGAGTGAAGACTGGGAGACCAAGCAGGAAGCTTCTGGGGTAGTCCAGTAAAAAGGTGATAAAACCTGAATTAAGGTAGTGGCAGAAGAGGAGAAGGAATTAAAAGAATTTCAGAGGTAAAGCAACAGGGCTTGGCAGCCCTTTAGGAATAAAGGTCAACGAGGCATTAAATGTGAGGGTTTCGGTTTGGATGCCTGGATGGGTGGTTCAGGCCATTAACTGAGATTAGGCAGGCAGAAGGAACCGGTTTCAGTGACTGAATTTGGGGTTTCTTAGGGGTTCCATGGGAAGATGTTCCATCAGGTGTGCAAGTAAAGACTGGAACTTGGAGTGGAAGGAAGAGTCCGAGATCATCCATGTAGGCAGGAGTCAAAGCCATGAGGACAGGTGGGTCACACTGGGAGAGCGTCAAGAGGGATGAGGACAGAACTCTGGAGAGCACCATTATTTAAGGAGGAGGCAAAGAAAGAAGGTAGTAAAGGAAACTAAGAAACAGCAGTCAGAGAGGTGGGAGGACAGCCAGCTGGGAATGGTCTGCTGAGAGTTACGGGGTAACCTCGCAGTGGGGGCTGCCAAAGGATTTAGGTGCTACAGGGATGGAGGTGTGGGGAGACACAAAACAGGCCTTTGGGTTTGTGATCAGTAGATCATCAGAATATAGTGAGAGCATTTTATGTGGATACTGGGGGCAGAGGACAGATTTCATGGTTTGAGAATATATAGAGATGGTAATTATAATACCTCTTTGAAGAAGTTGGTGCCAAAAATAATATGGGAGATAGGATCAAAAGAATGTCTTTTAAAGACAGGAAATACTTGAGCATTTGTGTAGACTGAGGGGAACGTGCAGAGGAAAAGGAAATGGAGGTGGGGGTTGGCGGGTAATAAATGTAGGCAGGTCTGGGAGGCTGGCCAGGTCAGAGACACAGGGTGAGAGCAGTGGTTCCCAACTCTAGCTACACAATAGAATTACCTGGAGCTTTTGTGAATTTACCACTGCCCAAGCCTCAGCCCCAGAGATTATGATCCAGTTGGCTGGAGTGCCTGGGCACCTAAAATGTAAAAGCTCCCAGGTGAATTTAACATGCAGTCGGGGTTCGCTGGGTCAGAGACAGCATGCTTAGGACTGTTTTTTAAAGCTATGCTCAGCAACCTGGGAGTAGAGGAACAGGGCACATGGCTGCTTGGGTTGATCTAAGTTAGTGGGAATCGGCTGGGTAGAAGCAGCAGAAAGACGTTAGCGTGCTGGTAAGAGCATTGTTGATGGATTTGCCCAGATTTGCCATCACTGCATATGGGGCATGAGGAAGAGGGAAACATCTGGATTTCTCTAGGCTTCTGGCTTGGAAGGGGTTGACTTAGTTGAGGAATTCAGGAGGAGCATGTGACTGGAGGAAAATGGTATATCACAGTCTTACACTAGTCAGACCCAGCTTCTGAGCCCTGCCCGGTCAGTGTTAGCTCTGCCACAGCAGGCAGATGCCTTCTCCTCTCTGAACCTGAAGATACTAGTGAAGATACTAGTGCCTATTTATGGGATTTTTATTGAGGATTAAATAAGATACTGTTTGTATAGTCCCTAACACTTAGTGTTCAATGAATGGTTATTATTATGAGTTTATCTTGAGACATGTTGGATTCGAGGCATCTGTGGAAGATCTGGGTATTTCCACAAGCATTTGCAGATATAGATTGGTCACTAGGGAGAGATGTGAGGAGAGGAGGTTTGCGGGTTATTGGTATATGGATAGAAGTTGAAACTATACGCATGGATTATTTAACTGGGAGAAGATAATGGGAAATGGACCACAAATCTTTTATGGTAAGGGTTTATTTTTTGATTCTAGACTTTATAAAAATATCCTGTTGTTAGCCTCACTGTACAGCAAGCTTTCAGAGTCTATACCAGTGCTTCCAAACTTTTATGTCATGCCACACATAGAAAATGATGCTATTTATATGGCACCTTGGGCTAAATAGACAAGGCTACTTGTACTGCAGGCAGCTGCTCCAGGATACCCAGGTCCCACCCAGCCATGCTGCATACTGAGGGGATTGCTATCTTGGGCCCATTAATAAACCAATGTGACCCGCTGAATGAGAAGGTTCTGTTTATGAGACTAACATGGAGCTCAAGAAGCAGCTACCAAAAATTAAGACTAAGGCATAGAGGATAGATTTTGTGTTACCCAGATGTGAGTTCAAATGTGGTCTGTCTTGGACAGAAATTCACAGAAAGCAAACATTCTGGGAATAGAGTAATATAATTTTGTAGCAGCCATACCATTGCGTAGGGTCTTTGTTTTTGCTGTCATAATAACAATCATTTTGGCTATGTTTTGATCTATGGATAATCTTTGATGCTGTCCAACAATTCACATTTACAAAGCATTGTGGTTTTCTTACAAGTAACGCAGGCGCAAACCCAGCAGCATTACTGTCTTGACTCTAAAGAGGCTGACGGCGGGACGTAGCTATACCAAATCCCTGGTTTTCTCATCCTCCAGTTCGCCATTTGGAATGGGTCCTCCTGTTAGCTGGGACAGTTTAGGGCGTTTGTGAAAGAATAGGCTTTGGAATCAGACATAACAGCATTGGGATCTGGCTCTGCCATAAACAACTGTGTGACCTTGGGCAAGTTACTTAACCCCTCTGAGCCCCAGTGTTGTCCTCTGTAAAATGGAGGTGACACTGACAGCACCTTCTCACTGGCTTGCAGTGACAGAATGCATATGGTATTTAGCACAGCGTCTGGCACAAGCAGCGGAATTAGTAAATGGTAGCTGCTGCTGCTGTGGATAGCTCTTCAGCTCACTCATCCTGTTGCATGTCTCTGCAGCACCAAGATGGTATTTTTTGTTCAAAACGAGCCTCCCCACCAGATCTTCAAAGGCCATGAGGTGGCAGCGATGCTCAAGAGTGAGTTGCGGAAGCAGAAAGCAGACTTTCTTATATTCGGAGCCCTGGAAATCAATACCGTCAGTGAGTAATTCTGGGAACTTGGGAGCAAGAGCCTGCCTAGTACCTGCTGTGCGCCTGTCAGTCCCCACTGCCCTTGGCCTTCATCTCCCTTTCTCTGGGAACATGAAGATAATCATTTTCCTCCATGTCCATTATCCTGAAAGGGTCCTGATTCATCACAGGGGTTCTTAACCTGGGGCCCGTGGGCCGCTGAGACAGCATTCAGGGGCCTGTGAGCTTGAATGGGCAAAAGTAGCGTCCTTGTTTTCACCAACCTCTTATTTTCACTTTCCCTCGATGATGAAGGTAGCAACAAACTACACTAGTATTAACCTGTGAATTTGAGGCAATAGAAATCACAAATAATGCCATATCATATTATATGATGAGATACCATTTTTACTCATCACTATTTCAAAATTTTGATAGTTATTAGAGCCACTTTTGGCTCTTTTACTTAATGTTTTAATAAACATACATTATTATTTCAAAAATTTGTGTTCTTAAATATTTCAAATTTCCTTTGTGATACTATATGTATTTTTATAATTATATTCTTTTAAAAATTATTTATTTTTATTATTTTTAATTATGGGTACACAATAGTTGTATATCTTTATACGGTACATGTGATGTTTTGATACAGACATACAATGTGAATTAATCAAATCAGGGTAATTGGGTATCCATTACCTTAGGCATTTAACATTTCTTTGTGTTAGGAACATTCCAATTCTGGTTATTTTAAAATATGCCCTAACTTACTGTTGATTGTAGTCACTTTGTTGTGCTATCAAATATTATGCATTCTATTTAACTATATTTTTGCACCCATTAACTATCCCTCCCTTTATCCCCCCACTCCCTGCTACCCTTCCCAGCCTCTGGTAACCATCATTCTACTCTCTGTCTACATGAGATCAATTGTTTTTAATATTTAGCTCCCACATATGAGTGGGAACACATGAGATTTGTCTTTCTGTGCTTGGCTTATTTCATTTAACATACTGTTCTCTGGTTCCATTCATGTTGCAAATGGCAGGATTTCATTCTTTTTGTGGCTATATAATATTCCATTGTGTATACATACCACAATTTCTTTATCCATTCATCCATCGATGGACACCTAGGTTGATTTCAAATCTTGGCTATTGTGAATAGTGCTGTAATAAACATGGGAGTGCAGATATCTTTTTAATGTACTGAATTCCCCTCCTTTGGATATATACCCAGCAGTGAGATTGCTGGGTCATATGGTAGTTCTATTTTTTAGTTTTTTGAGGAACCTCCATACTGTTCTTCATTGTGGTTGCACTAATTTACATTCCCACCAACAGTATATGTGGGTTTCCCTTTCTCCACATCCTCATCAGCATTCGTTATTGCCTGTCTTTTTGATCAAAGCCATTTTAAGTGTGCTGAGATGATATCTCATTGTAGTTTTGATTTGCCTTTATCTGATGACTAATGACGTCGAGCATTTTTTCATATACCTGTTGGCCATTTGTATGTCTTCTTTTTTGAAATGTCTATTCAGATCCTTTGCCCATTTTTGATTAGATTATTTGATTTTTTTCCTATTAAGTTGTTGGAGCTCCTTCTATATTCTAGTTATTAATCCCTTGTCCGATGGGTAGTTTGCAGATATTTTCTCCCATTCTGTGGGTTGTCTCTTTACTTTGTTGGCTATTTCCTTTGCTGTGCAGGAGATTTTTAGCTTGATGTGATCCCATTTGTACAGTTTTGCTTTGGTTGCCTGTGCTTTGGGGTATTACTCAAAAAGTCCTTGCCCAGACCAATGTCCTGAAGTGTTTCTCCAGTGTTTTCTTTTAGTAGTTTCATATATTCAGGTCTTAGAATTAAGTCTTTAATCAGTTTTGATTTAATTTTTGTGTACAGCGAGAGATAAGGGTCTAGTTTCATTCTTCTGCATATGGATATCCGGTCTTCTCAGCACCATTGAAGAGACTGTCCTTTCCCCCTGTATGTTCTTGGCACCTTTGTCAAAGATAAGTTCACTATAGATGTGTGGATTTATTTCTGGGCTCTTTATTCTGTTCCATTGGTCTGTGTGTCTGTTTTTATGCCAGTACCATGCTGTTTTGGTCACTACAGCTGTGTAGTATAATTTGAAGTCAGATGATGTGATTCCTACAGTTTTGTTCTTTTTGTTCAGGATGGCTTTGGTTATTCTGGGTCTTTTGTGGTTCCATATAAATTTTAGGATTATTTTTTCCATTTTTGCAATTACATTCTGAGCAGGGGGGTATGTGGGACATAAAAGATTAAGAATTGTTGATATAGAGAAACAACAAGTGAAGACAGACTGGAACTTCCTTTCTAGCAGCCTTCACAACTGCTCCTGTTTTATCCAGCTGTGATGATTATGGGCAACATGCCCCGGCTGCGAGGACTCCTGGGTAGGGTCTCCGGGAAGTTTCAGCTCAGAGCATGAAGCAGGGGCGCTTGAGTTTCCTCACAGGCCCTGGATGCTGGCCGTCGCCCCTGGCTCTGACTTTTGTTGCCTTTTTTCCCTTTCCTGCCACCTTCAGCATGTCAGTTGAACTGTTCTGACCATGGCCACTGTGATTCCTTCACCAAACGCTGTATCTGTGACCCTTTTTGGATGGAGAATTTCATCAAGGTGCAGCTGAGGGACGGAGACAGCAACTGTGGTGAGTTTTCTCCTTGGCACGGTGCCCGCTGCTTTGGCACTGAATGTGGTTCTGTGCTGAGTGGGTGGGTGTTGGTTGTTTCTGAGGCAGATGAGCAGGCGAGCAGAAGAACTTTGTGTATTTTCTGTTTGCAGAGGATTTTACTTCCTTCCTCCATACTTGCTCAAGGTTAGGGGAAAGCTCTGAAGCAGTCGTGTAAGAAGAACCAGGCTTAAGTCAGACCTGTTGTCAATTGCAACCTAAATCTGACCAGCTGCAAGGCCTCCTGTTTCCTGGAGCCCCTCCGTGCTGTGGCCTAATGGAAGCCCTTGTTTCCTGCTCCTCAAGCTCTTTTCAGCCTGTGCTACTGCTGCAGGGTCCCGGAGCTCGCCTGGAGCAGGGACTGGAAAGCAGGGACATTTCAAAAGACTTAAAGCCTCAGCTTCCCTTAACTCCAAGGCCTCAGCTTCCTGGGGAGCCTGGGGGGCATTCTTTCTCCAGAGTGAAGCCAGCACCTGCCCAAGCTGGGGGGAGCCCAGACTGCCCTTCCAGCCTCTCTCTCTAAGGCCCTCACCATTTTTATTTTCTTGGCAGAGTGGAGCGTGTTGTATGTTATCATTGCTACCTTTGTCATTGTTGTTGCCTTGGGAATCCTGTCTTGGACCGTGATCTGTTGTTGTAAGAGGTAAGATGGATTCTCCTTTGAAATTCATTGGGGTTTCTTGTCATATATGCCTTTCTCAAGAGAGATACTTAGCACTGTCCACATGGAAGGACCTTGCTGGATCCCCAGTCACAGTTAGAGTAGTGTGGCCCACCCAAGGCACATGCAGGCAGGCTTTTCTCACCTCGAACACTCCTCCTTTGCTCAAGTGGCTGTCACCGCAGTGATTTGAAACCTGGGAAACATGACTTGGGTGGGGGTGGGGAAGGCGAGGAGGTGGGTGGAGGGCCTGGGGTGTGGACCCGGATCACATCTCTAAGGTGTGTGTCCTTTAAGACTCCACACTTCAGCCTCACCGCCATAGCACGTGAGTTCTTGATTCTGCCTTCCTTTCTAGTTGGGGTTCCTGTGGATACATGTTTTCACACAGTTGTAGACTTAGGTTAGTGATACTTAAGTGTTCTGGGTTTTTTCATTTGAGTCTTCCTACCTAGTCTGCTAATATTTAATTGTTACATTTATTATATGTTTTTCATTAAGAATAAGTATTTCTGTTTACTGTGTATCATGATTGTATAAGTAGTATCTTTTTAAATATACTTTATAACCTTTTCCCATCTTACAGATAAGGAAACTAAGGCTCAGGAAAATTATATCACCTGTTTGAGGACAGACACAGTTAATAAGCGATAGAGTTGGGATTCAACCTGCAATATAACCTCATATAAAACTTAGAAAATTAAAAGAATTAAAAAAAACTCCCACCAGCCTAAGACAGCCACCGTTAACAACTTTGTTGGTATAGTGTTTCCCTCTTCTCATTCCCCTTAAGCAGAGGGTTTGTTTTCTTACATTTTTAACCAATCTGTCCTCCATTGCCACTGTGGAGTGGCGAGTCCATGCCAAGGTGGTCATAGCTCTCTCGCCTTTTCCCAGAATCGGTGAGGACATTTGAGCAGCAAATCCCAGCTGCCGCCTCCCTTGGCTGAGAAGTGAGGAGAGACACCCCCAGTAGGCCGCCTCCAAGACAGGGCCCCGCGTGTACGTGCGACTCTCAGCCTGGGCCTCGCACAGAACCTCTTTCCTGAGCGGGGGTGGGGGTTATGTTTTTTAGGCGAAAAGGAAAACCCAAGAGGAAAAGCAAATACAAGATCCTGGATGCCACAGATCAGGAAAGCCTGGAGCTGAAGCCAACCCTGCGAGCAGGTAGGGGCCTCTGTCACTAGACAAGCCTGTTCAGTCTCCGTGAGGGGCCGTCATCACCAGTCCCCTCCCACATGTGGCACTAACAGCTGACTGTGCTGGAAGAGCATTTTGTCCCCTTGCCTGATGAAGACCGAGGGTCACATTTGCCCTGAGCTGCATGCGGGATAGCTGACTCCAGGGCTCGCCTCTCGGTGCTCCTAGCACTGTGCAGAGGGGCCGGGCCTCTGGCTTCCCCTCTTCTGCTCGTCCCCTCAGGTTTACCACCCAGAGTTCAGCTTCTTGAGCTGCCCCAGTAGTCAGAGTTGGGGACCTGGGTCTCTTATGCTGCACTAGTCTGTCTTTTATGGGCAAGGACAAGCTCAAAGCCAATGTCTTCAGCCGGCCTCCCTCTCCCATCTTCTCCTCTTCATTTTTTGGCAAAGCCACAGCCTCCATCATTGTCTCAGGGCAGCCAGGAGGGCAGCCACCTGCGGGCTCCATGTGCTCTGGGCTCATCTGCCAGATGCCTGCACTGGGATAATTTCCTACTGCACAAGCCCTGAGGTGACTCTTAGCGTCATCACTGGAGAGTCAGGGTGGGTACTGGGGCCTCCCTCCTTCGCTGGGCTCGGTCACTTGGTGAGGTTTCCACTCGTGGATGCCACAGGACGGGTGTTGTCTGTTGATAAGAGCTGGACTCTATTTAAAGCTCTTCCTAAACACTCTGCAAGTAGAATATTTTTATCCAAAGCATTTATTACACACCTTCATACTTAAAGGCTTGTATTAGGAAGCGGCTGCAGGGGGATCTAGTCATCAGACACAGGCCTGCCCTCAGTCTATGGGGGAGAAAAGACAAACAGCAGCAGGGCAGGCAGAGCATCTCGCTCGCGAACGCCGAGAACACGGCCGAGAGGGGAAAATGCACGCAGGCCACGGCAGCCGGTTTCGGTCACGTTACTCTAACCCTGCCTTTCTGCCCCTTGAAATTCTTCAGTGACTTCTAGTTCCAGCACTTTTGGTCTGGTAGACACAGCCTTTGTGAGCTTAAGTCAGATTGTTTTTCTGGAATCTTCCTCCTCGCTGATTTCCCTCTTTTCCAAACAAGTTCTGCTGGTTCACACCTCTGCTCGGAAAGCTCTTTCTCATCCCTCCCTCAGCCTCCTGAAGTCGGGGTCGTCTTTCTCCCACGTCTGGTCGGGCACTTCTGTCACCGTCTCGGGATTAGTTACGTATCGTTACTGTCTGTGTCCCCGCCGGTCGGGGGACTCCTGCAGGGCAGGGGCTGTGCCTGCTCCTCCGCAGGTACGGATCGACCCCCGCCTTCCAGCCCGTGCCAGGCACTGGCTGTGTCGTGGTGGATCAAGCAGACTCTGCCCTTGCGCAGCTTGTATTAAACGGACATTAAACAAACTCACAGATGTATAAAATGTGAAGATGAAAGGCTTTTATAAAGAATATGGAGAATGAACTGAGCCTGGGGAGGAGCAGCAGCCAGGTGGGGCTGCGGGAACAGCATTCCAGGCGCAGGAACCAAATGGGCGCATCCAGCTGCCGCAGGGAGCAGAGGGCGTGTGAGGACGTAGGAGGAGGTCCTTGGCTGAGCAAGGTGCGAGTGGCCCGGGGCTGGAGGGGTGAGCGGGGACCTTGCCATGGGCGCCTTCTCAGAGTAGCGGGGAGCCTTTTAAGGGGCGAATGGTGGGATGTGGGTCGCATGTTAAAAAGAACCTATGGCTGACGTGTGAGGGAACTGGAGTGGGGCCGGGTGGGGGGCGAAGGGGATTAGACACTGTGTCCTGGGAGAGAGACAGCGAGGTGCAGAGATCCCACGCACAATCTGGAGAAGACTTGGCGAGGTTGGTGGCGTGTTGCCAAGGGGGGTGAGAGGGTCAGGGAGATGGGAAGGATGGTTCCCATCTCTGTGGCTGGGTGGTGCTATTCTCTGAGACGGGGGAGACTGGAGAAGACATGTTGGGGAAGATCCGGTGTTTGGCTTAGGACGGTTGTACATGGAGCTGAGAAAACGAGGCTGACACCAACCTGAGGAGTTATGCATTTAATCCTGACAGTGATGGGAGGTGACATCTTGAACCTGCTGGCTTAGGAGGATCAGTCTGGTGACAGGACATAACGAACTGAAGGGGAGCGGCTACAGGTCAGGAGGCCAGCAAGATTTCTGGTCCAAGGAGGAACTGACAGTGGCTCCGACAGCATGGTGTCAGTGGGACAGAGGGACAGGCGAGGTCAAGGATGACTTCCAAGCTGAGAGGCAGGGAAGAAGGATAGTGCTGTTACAGCATCGGGACCCGGGGTTTAGTGACTGGGCAAGAGAAGGTGAATTGAGTTGAATTCTGCAAACAGGACTGGAAGTGCAGAAACAAGAACCTTCCACCTGCTGTTAAGGATTTGGCACCACAAAAGGGCTCACGGCCCTATGGGAGAATGTTGAGGGACAACAGAAGAGGCCCAGGGGTGAGGAACCCCAGAAGGACGGTGCCGGGGGACTCACTGGGAGTGGCCATGAGTGTTTGCTGCTGCAGAGGTCAAAGAATCAGAGTCGACGATGACACCGGGAAGTTCCTGGTTTCCTAGTGAGCTGGAGTAGAACGGAGCGTGGTGACCGAAGTGGAAGTGCAGGTAATTTGGGTGTAGGGGGCGAGGAGCTGGAGGCCCTGAGTATTCAAACATCCTTTTAGAAGTTGAGTCATGCAGACCGGAGGAGAAGCAGGACAGAGACCAGAGGGCCAGGGCTTCCCGGGCTGGGGGTTCCTGAGCAAATCCGCCGGCGGAGATGGAGAAGACGGGGTGGCGTGGAGGCGGGGGCTGAGGAGGCAGAGAGAGAAAGGCGGCCATGGAGGGAGGAGGGGAACAGTGGGCGCTGGCACAGGAAGGGCCATGCTTTGGAGCGGGGCCTGGGCGGGAGCCTGAGCTCAGCGCAGCGGGCTTCTTAGCGGGGGCGAGAGCCACAGGGTGGACCAGTGGCTTCCAGGTGACCGAAGCTGATGGTGTGAGAGCAAGCAAGGGTCTCGTGGGTAGTGTCTAGTTGAGGGAGTGCCGAGTGTGCTCAGGTGGGTCTGCCCTGGCCGGAAGCGCCGGCTCTTGTTCTGGGATCTGTGGGTGAGCAAGTGCGGCCGGAGCAGTCACCACAGAGGAGAATGGGGTTCAAGGCCCCACTGTAGAAGGTGGGACTGAAGTTGTTTAGCTGGAGGAAGAGCAGAGGGAGTGGGCCTGGGGCAGAGAAGGGTGGTGTGTGGCAGGGAGCCTGCAGGGCCACCGTGTGCCGGGAGCCAGGGTGGGCTCAGGACGTGGCGAAGCCGAGGTGAGCCTGGCGTTCTGGGGCCCTGAGGCCGCCAGGTGGAGCGTGGGGCCCTCCACCCTCGGGAGACCAGGCCTCACGTTCAGCAGGTGTGGTTTGGGTTTGGTTTGGGTTTGGTATTCTATTTTTCCAAAACTTTCTACTGAAGTATATTAGGTTGAACCATATGAAATTACTGATATTTAACTTTTTGACCTACAAAAATGGTAGTTTTATGTGGTTTAACCGAATCTGTACAGAAAATCCTAAGTACAGCTTGATGGGTTTCTCTGTGAACACACCCGTGTAATCAGCCCCAGAGCTCCAATCTGAGCTCCTTCCAGCCGCCCCCCAGCCCAGGTTACTTCTCATTTCCTGGCGTGCGTGGTACCTGTGGAAGAGTTGTGTTCACTCCTTGCACGCGACGCTGCATTGGCGAGGTTCACCCATGCTGTTACTCGGAGCGCTGGTTGGTCGTTCTCATTGCTGTACGGTTCCCATCATGCCAATAGCTTTATTCCTCAGTTACGCTGTTGATGCGCAATTGGCTTCTTTCCATTTTGGCTCTCACAAGTGCTACCGTGAACATTCTTGTCCGTGTCTTGTGGTGGACATAGGTGTGGGCTTCTACATGGTGTACACCCAGGAATGGAATTGCTGAGGCATATGGGATGTGTATGTTCAGCTTTCATCTTTCCTGGCTTGTACATTTTAGTGGGTAAAGTCCACTCAATTCTTCATTCAGAGCAGGCAGGGCTCTGGGTGGGCGCTGTGTGCCATGGAGCCAGGAACAGATCTGCTCTCGGGCTCCTGACCTCGCAGCTACGGCTGGAGGGCCTTTGGGAAAGAAAGGAGGCTGAGAGCGGGGTGGGTATTGCATCGACAGGCGCAAGGCAGGGCCTTTGCAGGACCTTGGCCCTTCCCTGGGCCTGGATCTCATATGGCCGCTCTCCCCAGCACACTGGAGAAGCCCAGGCTGCCCTTGTTCTTTCTGGCCCTGCCGCCCTGCCATCCTGAGACTCAGTAGGACGGGTGGCTGTGCACAGTCGTCTCCCAGCCGTACCCCTGACACAGACAAGGCTGGGTGAGCTCCTTGTCTGAGCACCAGAGCACGCACAGAGACAACAGCGCGCAAGGGCAAGGTGTGCAGGAGCCTGTGGTCCCCGAGTGGCCGATGCAGTCAGGTCGGGACGCCCTCAGCCTAGAGCTCAGAGGACTCACAGCCCTAGGTCAGGTCTGGCCGGCAGGGCAGAATGGCTGAGAATCCTCTCAAGATGTTCCTTCAGTGTTCCGGGGGGACCTGGATAGGACCAGGGAGGGGAGACTGATTGTTGGACGATGAGATTACGGTGCTGCCTAATCTGACTAGTCGCCTTTTTAAGAAAGGAGGGAGGTTAACTCCTGGGGGTAGTTCCAGGGTGCAGAGCAAGGTGTGGTCTCCCTGTTGGCAGTTCTACCTGTGGTCCTACCACCTGTTGCTTTGTCTGGGGTACTTTGCACCACCAGAGAGCAGCCATCTTGCTGTTGGACGAGATCTGCCCTAAAACTCTCACCAACCACATGTTACGGCCGTGGCCTCTCTGAAGCTGCAGGGATAAGTAGTAAAGGGGACTCCCAGGGCTTGCAGAGTTGCAGGCATCCTTTCCGACCTGAAATGCTGCCTTTGGTCCTTGTGTGTGCTCTGATGAGCTGATTGCTTGAGACTGTCTCTGAGAGTCCCACTCCAGTCAGGCTCTCGCAGCAGCAGAGGCCTCTCAAGCCCGTGCCGCACTCCCACCCAGCGAGGCCAGGGCGCACTGAGCCGGGCGGACATCTGCGTGGAGTGGATCACACCTCCTGCCGAGTCAGGAACCCAGTATCCTGCTTAGGATGTGGGTGAAAGCGCGCTCTGCAGAGCTGAGTGCTCTGTGCCCTGCCTCCCATCTCCCGCGACCTGTAAGGGGACGAGAGAAAACATCCATAAAGGGAGGTGATAAAACATTCCACATTTAAAAGGGGAAAAAAGGAGAATGTCCTTGGGTGGCACTAACCAAAGCTCCCGGATACTGGGGACAAAGGGCAGCAATAGAGCCCAGGTCTGTTCCCCAATCTGTTCTCCGTGACTATCCTCGGGGACCGCACCAGCCAGGACTGGCTGAGGGACTAGAGAAGCCACCTCCCTGTCGGCCCTCCCAGCCGGTCCCTTGGGAGGCAGGGACGAGGATGTGGGGTGCGGCTCCGGCCTGGCAGGGCTTCTGTCCTGACGCCAGGGTTCCTCGTTTTCCTCGCAGGCACCAAACAGAAAGGCCCAACGCTAAGCAGCAGCCTGATGCACTCCGAGTCGGAGCTGGACAGTGACGACGCCATCTTCACGTGGCCAGACCGAGAGAAGGGCAGACTCCTGCATGGTCAGAACGGCTCTGTGCCCAACGGGCAGACCCCGCTCAAGGCCAGGAGCCCACGGGAGGAGATCCTGTAGCCACCCTGTCTGCCTCTTCGGGGCAGGGCCCAGCGCGCTGCCGAACTGGTCCTCCTACCTCCCGAGTCTGTGGGCAGCTGCTCTCCCAGCATCTGCCGGTCACTCCGCCCCAACACCCCCAGCCAGACTGCTGAGACTTGAATCAGAGACATTCTCCAGGAACCCCTGAATGAAGCTGTGAATGAAGAGGTCTCCTCTTTACACCTGTCTAGGGGGCCCCCAAGTATCCTGACCTCAGGGCCTCCATTTTTGCAAACCCCTCCCCTGCCCCAGGACAGACGCAGCCAGCTCGCGGCCTCCTCTGCAGCTCCCCCGTTGGCAGCGTTGCTGTGCCCAGAGCGGGGACTGCTATACCACCCCCCACAAACACATTTGGGCACAGAACCAAGCACCGCCAGCCTCCTGGCTCCAGAGAGCCTGACTGCGGGCATGTTCTCTTCTCCGGGGGAGAGTGCACCCTCCCACTGGGCCAGTAGGAAGTAGCGTCCCCTCCCTGCACCACCGATGCTGGGACGGTAGTGCAGAAATGATGTCTGGACCCCCTTAGCACTGGACCCCCCACCTTCTCCTGTCTGGCCCGAGATTGGGGAGGATTAGCTGGTTCAGGGATGGCAAGGGACCTCTCCGGCTGCGGGGTGTAGGCTGCCTCCCTGCCTCTTCCTCTGACCAGCACTTGCTGCTTCAGGGCTCGGGCCACCACTCCTGTCCCCAAAAGAGACAGCCACCGATGGATTGGAATGCTGTGGCATGAGAGCGCATGTGTGCGACCGCCCTGCTGTGGGCCCCTCCGTCCCTTGCATGTGTGCGTGTTAGAGTGAGCGCTGCGCGCCAGCTCCTCGAAGGGCTCTCGGCTGCTCACAAGGCAGCCTGGACTCGGAAAGACTTTCAGCTCCTTGGAATGGAGACTTCCTGGGTCCCTCTGGCCCTGCTCCTCAGCCGCAGCATCTGGGTGTAGAGGAATGGGAGCTTTGGGGGAGTTACTTTTTAAAAAGACACTACAAATTTCTACTACTGCACTACTGTCTGTTGTGAGATGATTAAACATCTATTTAATTGTGCACTTTGCCTGCTCGCTCTGCTGCTTTGTGCTACCTCTCTGACCTGTGCCACAGATCCTGCCACCAGGGCCGCCCTGGAGGGGAGTCTCAGGCTTGGCGTCAGCACACGTGGCCGAGACCCTGCCTGCCACTGGCGGCCGGAGTGCACCACCCTATGACCCTGCTGGTCACTGCTGCCCTTTGGCTTTAAGGGAGGGGGCCTAGGTCCTTTCTTGCTACACCTTTTGTTAGCACAAAAATGATTCCTGTCTGCCCCAAATCCAGGGTATGGCCTTGAGAATTTTTAACCACTCATTTTCCCTTTTGGGTTCCCACATCAGTAGGGGTTGGCCAACATGGCCTGGACGTGTGGCCTGTACCTTATCCATGGAGCACTTTGCTGGGCACATGTGGGAGGGCTGGTACACAGCCTTGGACTTACAACACGGACCACTGAGCTCACGCTGCCCCCAAGGCCCTGTGCACAAAACCCAGATGCAGGAGGGCAGCAGTGGCTCTGTTCTTACAGACCCACAAGCTGAGGCCTAGTGCGATGAAGGAGCTCGGTCCACACAGTGGCAGCAGCCTGCGCTTGCTCTGAAGCACTGCTTCTCCAGCTAGCACGAGAGGCCTTGGTAAAACAGATTGCTGGGTTTCTAATTCAGTAGGTCTGCGGGGAGGTAGGAGAATTTGCCTAACAAGTTCCCAGGAAATGCCGATGCTGCTGGCGCAGGGTCCCCACTTTGAGACCCTCTGGTCCGGAAGCACATGTTCAATGCAATGTGAACAGCAGGCAGCAGGTGTCCGTCCCCTGAGTTAAGGTGAAAGAAGTGAAGGTGGAGAAAAGGGAGAGCTTGGATCTTCCCAGGAGTGTGTTCCACGCTAGGGGCACAGATTTGTGCAGCTGGGAGCGGCGGGGTGGCAGCGGGGATGCTGCTGCCCTCGCACAGCTGCAGCAGGCAGGCTTGGTGCGGCGGAGGACACCGGGGGAGAGTGGCCGGGGGAAAAGCGGTCGGCCTGCACGCAGCAGGAACAGTGGGGCTGGGCACAGGCCACACCGCTCAGGAGATGGCAGGGAGGTGGTGAGGACATGGCGAGGCTGGTGCATCAGGGGCAGCGTTAAGGATTCGGGAGGGAACTTACTGGCTCTGCAGGAGGCTTCCCGCTTCCTCTGGGCCTCATTTCCGCATCTCGTTAATCTCAGCCACACCCATTGGGGGATATACATATTTTTTTATCTGTTTCAGAAATGAAGGAAATAATTTTTCATCCCCTACTTCTTCCACCGAAAAAACTAACAAAAAGCAGGCACTGACGCTGCTTTACAGGCTCGGAGTCTTGCACTGAGACCTCCACGTCCCTACTCTTAGCGGGAGGAGGCAGAAGTCCCTGGAGCTGCTTAGGGGGAGCCAGGCTACCACATCAGCTCCTGTCCACGCCATCACCCCAAAGCAACCCTTCTGAAATGCCGGAGTCCAGGAGCGTGGGAACCCCGCCTTGACCACATTTTGCTTGGCTAAACACTCCTTCATCCTCACCAGGGGTGTTCCCAGTCTTTTATTTTCTAGAATGGCCACAAGGCAGGCCAATAAAGAACCCCACCGGGTACCTTGAGCAAAGAGGAAACAGTCACCAGGAGGCAACAGCCAAGAAAACCCCCAGGGCTGGATGGCTGCAGCTTTGGCCTTTCTGCTGAGGGAGGTGAGGTAAGAGACTGATCCCTGTTCTTCCAGCGTCCCTTTGGCCCATGCGGTGAATGGAAGGAGACGAGAGGTCTTCACACGCACCCGAGACAAGCTCTCTGAAAACAGGGCCAAGAGCAGGTGCGTGCAGCCAGGAGCCATCAGCCCATGGAAGGGAGGGTTGGAGGAGCATGGAGCAGGCCCTTGACTCCTTCATGGAATTTGTGTTGGCTGATTTAAAGGCCCCTATAAATTCTCTGGTCAAACCCGGCCACTGTTACAACTCTTCCACCTCCCAGCCCCACAGTTTGTGGTTGGTGCTGGTGGTGGCTAACTAATAGCCAAGATTTCCAGGACTGGGGCTGAGGCTGTCCCTCTTGGCCTCCCCACAAAGGGCCTCGACAGGTTTTTTTTTTTGAGACAGAGTCTCACTGTGTTGCCCGGGCTAGAGTGCTGTGGCGTCATCCTAGCTCATAGCAACCTCAAACTCCTGGGTTCAAGCGATCCTCCTGCCTGAGCCTCCTGAGTAGCTGGGACTACAGGCACGCGCCACCATGCCCGGCTAATTTTTTCTATATATTTTTAGTTGTCCAATTAATTTCTTTCTAATTTTAGTAGAGACAGGGTCTCGCTCTTGCTCAGGCTGGTCTCAAACTCCTTAGCTCAAACAATCCGCCCACCTCGGCATCCCAGAGAGCTAGGATTACAGGCGTGAGCCACCGCGCCCGGCCCTCGACAGGTTTTATACCTCAGTGTCCAAGCGCTGCCAAAATAGGGGTGCTCTGACTTGCTCAAGTTTGACATTAGAGGGTACCGTTATAGGCTCCTTTGGTCACAAGGAACAAACTAAAGTTACCGCTCATGGGAAGGTCAGGCCTTGGCCACCTTCTATCCAGGACTGGGGCCTGGGAACTTACTGCAGTGCCCTAGGCTCACCTTCTTTACTGTGTTTTCCCCTCACTTCTAATCAGGCAACACACTCCTGTTTCCACATTGGTGGTTCTCTCTCTGGCTGCATATTACAATCAACTGGGGAAACTTTAAAAACTACTAACTCCTGGAACCTAAACTCCAGAAGTTACTGTGATTTTTAAATACTTAACTGATCTTTTATTAATTCCACAGATAATTTGTGCAGTCATACCATGCCCTCGACAAGAGGAGTAATAGCCCTTAGCTCCAAAAGACGTGCAAGCCACTGGGCTTGGGTAGAGAGGGAAGGCGCCCAGGCACCTGGTATCTCCCAATCAGCTCAGGGGAGGCTTTCCAAGCTGGGTGTGGCAGATACTAGCTGTTCACCACACCAGGGTCCTTGTCCAGGATACAGCTAGTCCACATTTCCAGCCTTCTGCACAATACAGGCACAGAAATGTGTTCCATCTTCAGCCCTGACCCACTGTAAACTTCTGTGGGGCCCTCACTCTCTTCCTCTGTCTGCTGGCCAGCTGCAGAGGATCACTCGGGGGTCTCTGCAGCCATAGTGGAGACGCAAGATGGAGGAAGCCTGGTCCCAAACCACCATTCAGAAGACTTGGCCCACGAGAATGGCTGCTGGATCGTTATGAGAGAAATAAACTTGTGTTAGCCATCGCATTTAAAAAAGGTAGTGTTAAGATTGTGGGGTCCAGGCTCCCTTCTGTTAGGCATCCAAGGGCCTGAGTAAGCTACCAGGGTTGACAGTTGTACCTCAGCCCAGGCCTCCGCAATGTCCCGGCGGGCTGCAGGAGGGCAGCTGGAGGACTCAGACACATGCCATAGTCTTGGCCACACAGTTCTGGGTCACATGCTTTTTGTTCCTCTTCTGAAGAGCAGGCAATAAACCTCAGACCCTCCCCTAGGACAGTGTTGCTGAGGGATCTGGATGGAGGTACGTGCACCTGTAGTGTGTGGTCTGGGGGTTTGAAGGCTCGGAGAGAAATAATCAGCGATCTGAGACTTAAAGCCTTGGATCTTACACGAGGATAACCCCCCCCAACAATCACCAACTGCTCACAGGTGGTATCTCAACTGCTTCTGTAGCTTGCAGCCCAGAAAACTGAACACGCTTTCACATGCCCATTTCCATGATCTTGCTTAAGAGGAAAAGCCAGGACAAATCTAGTGCAAAAGGTGTTTCATTCCAACTTGGTGCTGTAAATGGCTGCAGCATGTCGGTATTCTTCAACTGGAAACATGGCTACATGCAGGCAAGACAGAACCTTTGTAATCTGCAGGTCGCCACCCACGCCCAGAATCTTTTTCTAGTGCCCTTAAGAAAAACAATGAAAGTAATCACCTGGAGTCACACCTGGGCTTCCAGTCTGAATAGCAGATGGTGAGTTGAATCATGGGAACAGCTGCAGTCACATAATTTTTCTTGGCGTTTATTAGTAGGCTAAATAAATTAAAGCATCAAAACAGGGAAAGTGCCATCTGTTGGAGCATTTCCCCAGGTAATGCCCTTCTGTCTTCAAGTAGATCCTAGGAGCCTAGAATCTCTCTCCCTCTGAAACTGAGGCTACATTTGGGGCTACAGTGACTCATGTACCTTTTCCACTCTGTGCAGCACTCAGCCTTGTCCCCACCTGCTTGCAAGTTTATGAGGCTGCAGCCATATCTTAAATTCTGTAACACCCTTATCTCCAAACAGGGCACAGATATTAAAACATCTTATGTGACGGCTAAATGATCTGGGAGTAGCCAGTATCCAGGAAACCTTCCATTCTGATTCCATTACATGGAAACAAAACATGAGTCTCAACAGCCTCAGATGAAGAGGTTCCTGTCACGTGACCCATAAGCTGTCATGTGCCCACAGTGATTAACGGACAGCAGTAGAGAAACCACGGAAACTGCACACGTGGCTGTCTTCAGGAGACACTGCACACCACTTTATCCCCACCTAATCTCAAAAATCCCAAGCTAGCTCTCTCAAAAGCATGAAGCACTTTTAAACATGGTACTCTTTGGAAATATTAAATACCATACTCTCATTTGGAAAAACAATATAAACTTCAGCATTTCAAGAACACCAGTGTCAGAAGAGGTGGCTTCTCAAAGCCTCAAACTCCAGTGGGAGAGGGAAGAGGATGGCAGGCGTGGTCACTGCTAGCTTCGGTGGAGCAAATCCTCCAGTGGAAGCTGGCCTAGTAAGTTCCCAGGGAGCACTACTTGGGGATAGAATAGAGATGGAGTTAAAATACTTAATTATGTAACATAGAAGATGGAGGTGGGGCAGTGATTGTAACTAAACTAATCTACAGTCCTTCCACGGAACAGGAGAAATACTGATTAACTTTAGAGTTTAAGCCAGGTGTTTATG